GCCCTATCCCTTCCCCAAATCCTCCGCCGCCCTCCCCAAATCCTCCGCCGTTGCTCCTCCACATCTGCCCTAAATCGCCTCCATCCAAATCATCCCCCAAATCGTCCGCTCCGCAAAAAATCATCCTTTCATCGCTGCATCTGCGTGTAGTTCGGTCCGGTCAAAGGCGAAAGTCTCCCCAATTTATTCTCTCCCTCCCAAAATCTCTTCAGTTTCATCTCATATCAAGGTACAACTATTTTTATTTATTTTTTATTTTTTATTTTTTTCTAATTGCATATTTGTGGTAAAAAGTCATGTATGTTTGTGAGATGTTTATTTTTACTGATTTTGTTAATCATGTAGCAGGTATGTATGTTCGTGACTTTCAAGAACTTAGAATCTTGTATCTTTTACTGTTTGATTCTATTAATCAAGATTCAAGGACTCATGTGTATTAACTGAGTTTACATCAAAAGATCTGGTTATTGATGCATTGGTGCTGACTTGATTTTGCCCTTTTCTCTTCAATTCAGAAAACTTGAACTGTATTTATATATTAAGAAAAAACACTTGGGATTAATTGGATACCATTTCATTTTCAAACTTTTTATTCCACTTTAAGAATTGTGTTGGGTGAAAAATAAAATCTTCCAATGGAAATGAGGTGACTATAAAATAATTCGGTTAGCCAGACCGACCCGACAGAATAATTCAGTTCAGTTATACTGCGGTTTTAAGCATATGTTTAGGTCGGTGCAGTTTTTGACTTACAACATTTCGGTTATTTCGGTTTTTGTAGTTCGGTTCGGTGGACCCCCCTTAAGTGTACAAATCTAATAATCAATACATAATAACAGAGTAAAGAATAAAACAAGTAAAATAAAAAATAAAAATACTTAATTTTAACATTAAAATTTTCGTAAAAATATATTTTAATACATCAATTCCTTAAATAAAATATTGTTACAATAAACAGGTCAAAATTTAATATTCCCTCCAATTCTTTTTAAATATAATTTTGGCTTTATCAAGGTATTAACCAAATAAATGACATATGGTTATTTTGTACATATTTTTCCATTATTACCCTCATTTAGCTAATAAATATACTACGCCTTTTCAAATTCAGTCTTCATCTTTTTCGCAATACATTCATCTCTATCTTCATTAAAGATGGTTATTATTGGCAAAAATTTTTTTCTTAATTATTGTGCAACTTTTCAGAACGACATATATTATGAACCGGAGGGAGTATTCAATAAGAGTGTATGAAGCAGCTGCATGACATAACACTTTATTCAGTAGGATTGACATAGATAAATCAAATGAGGTGCTTGTAAGCTCAACTTGATAAAGTGTCCGAGTGGGACATGTTCATCATCAATACCCTCTAATTTTGTGGTCGTCAGTACCATTTATCGAAAGCAAACTCTAGTTAAGGAGAGAAAATAAAGTCTAATAGATTATATATATATATATATATATATATATATATATACACATATATATAATGCATTTGGGATGTGCGTGAATATAAGATGTGCCACGTGTGCTTGTGAAGGATTGAGAAGTATACACGTCGAGGAGACAATTGATATATGTATACCCGCAAATAAAAATTAATCTGTCCGTATACTTAAAAATAAAAAATAAGATTGATGTATGTGCAAATAAAGTTGATCTTGATGGTAAGTGGATCCATTTGTTTAGTCAGCTTGAGAAAGTTACTAGTATCACGAGATTGGCTCTGAAGCTGGTATTGACCACGGATGCTCCTATAGGAATTCTTTGAATACCCAAAACTTCTACATCTTCTCCAGAACTTTTCGAAGTTTAGTCATAGAAAAATGGGCTTTCTCGCTATAAACGAACTAAACGAACAGTTCAATCTCGATGGTATGCCTGTTCCTTGCTTTGCTTATGGCTTGGCCAATTGACATTGCCCTTTGGCAGAACCTACAGAGACAACCTCAAGCTTTCGAAAACCTCCAGGCGAAAACCTCCAGGCAAAGGCAATCAATTCACTACTCAGTGTCCGCTTAAGCTCCCACACTCACACAAAAAGAGTTTGCTTAAACTCACTCCACTCCCTGAAAACCCTCCTCCTCAGTTCCAGCCCTGTGCTCCCTCAGTTCTCTGCATAACTCGACTAAAACGAACAAATCGACTGAACCGAAAATTTCAGTTCAGTTTTTATCCGATTCGGTCGGTTTTCGATTTCAGCATATAATTGTTCTATAATTTCAGTCGATTTTCGGTTTCAACATATAATTGTTATGTTATTTCGGTCGGTTTCGGTTTCTAGAATTCAAATATCTGAATAAACCGAACAAACCGAATATATATATATATATATTTATATATATATATTAAATATTAATATTATTATTATATCTATATATATATAATTACTAGCTAATAGCATTTAATAAAATCTATTTAATTTTATCTATATAACAATTTAACTAATTCCCTCCAAAAATCGTTACTTTTGATGTATTTAATATTTCATTTAATTATTAAATAATCAATACTAATCATTTCAAAATTACAAAAACCATTTTAAACTTTTGATTACTGATAGTTGACCATATTTTACGTTGACCGTATAATGTGATTAGATGTTATTATTGTAGTTACGTTATATTCATTTAAAAAAAAAAAACTTATTTGAAATTCCTAAATAAATAATAAATAAATCACAAAAAAAGACGTACTCAAAACATCCGAACAGATAAACACAATTTAAAAAAAAATATATATATTCCAACTCCTTTAATTGTAAATTTGGCCACAAAAAAGTGAAAGAAAAATAATTTATCATTATATGCATATAAATAACTCACAATATTTTATTTATAATATAATATTTCAATAATCCAATAAACCATACAGTACACTCACTTTTCAAATCGGCCGTCGGTTCCATCTCCCTTCCCCAAATCGCCGTCGGTCTCCCTTCCCCAAATCGCCATCGCCCCGTCGGTCTCCCTTCCCAAATCCTCCGCCGTCCCCAATCTACCGCCGTCTCTCTTCCTCCGCCCCTAAATCGCCCAAATCCAAATAATCTTTTCCGTAAGAAATCGTCCTAGAAGCTACGTCTGTGACTCCTCGCAGGTCAAGGAACTCCTTGCCGCCGGTCGTCGAACCGTCGGTCGAGGGCGCTGAGCTTGGAGGTTTCGGCCAGGCACACGGTTGTTCACCGTCAAGGGCGAATTCGTCTCCCTCCCAAAATCTCAGTTCCATCTCAAATCAAAGTACAAAGTCTTTTTTGTTTTATTTTCTAATTGCATACTGGTAGGGAAGATGATGTATGTGTTGTGAATTGTGAGATGTTTATGTTGACTGAATTCGTTAATCATGTATGTATGTTTGTGAGAATCCTGTATGTATGTTCTATTTTCTGATTCATCCTGTTGGGAATGCTTATGAATTCTGATCATGTATGCTTAGATCTGTACAAAAAAGCAAATAATTCGTTTAACCGACCGAACCAACCGAACCGACCGAATAATTCAGTTCGGTTAATTTTTGGTTTTAAGCATAACATTTCGGTCGGTTCGGTTTTTGACTTATAGCATTTCGGTTTATTCGACCTATGAAAACCCCTAGTTATAACGCCCACATCTCGTGCGACTGGATGAAATCGGGTCGGGTCTCTCGTCAGCTGCAGCTTCGTGAACGCAAATCGTAATCTCCATTTTCGTTTCTTCTGCGATTAAGTATACTTGGAACTGAGTGAATTTTTTTTACTACTACTACTCTTTATTATGTCTGCGAAATTGTGTTTTTTCAATTTAATTTCACCATAACGATTTTTTGGTGCGATGAGTATTGTGAACGTTCGGTCTGTGTCTGGTGAATTTTGTGAGCCAATTGACATTCAGCAGCTATTTTTTCTTCCAGTTGATTTAGAGCTGGCGAAAAAAAATAGTTAATGGATTGTTAGATGCCTCACAAGAATGAAATTGATCTGAATCCTGCTTATTTTGTGAAATTTATATGTTTCCTAGTTTTAGGCCTTAGGGTTAAGTATTTGGCTAAATAGTGCTTAATTTTTATGTAGAACTTACTTTGTTCATAGCTGCTACAGTTGAGTTTGGAACTTCACAATGTCATGGATGTGTGATATATTTGAGGTTATAATCCAACCACTCTCTTAATTTCAAGCTGATGGTTTTGATAATTTATGTATGTAATTTCAAATAAGGTTGAAAAGAATATTGTAATTCGATTTGCGAGCCATGTAGTTTTTTTGGTTACCTAACTATTCGAGACAATATTAATTAGAGAAAATTGCTATTTTAGCCGTACTTTTCCATCCCCTTCAAATTGCTATTTTGATTTTCGTCCCTTACGTTTGCAAAAAAGTTCCAAAAAGTTAGAGCATACACAAGGGATGAAATTGCTACATTTTTGCCAATTCGAAGGGGGACTTTTTGTTGCGAAAATGACCTTTTTGTAACCTTATTGCAAACATAAGAGACTAAATTCGAAACAACAATTTGAAGGGAACCAAAACGTTACGTTTGATAACATACAAGATTAAGTTGCAGTTTTCTCCGTTAATTATTCCTGAATGCTCTTTGTTCATGTTTGTTTCATGTCTCTAATATTTGTTTGTTCTAATTGGCCAAGATTTTGTTATCTAGAGAAGGATGAGTAACACGTCAGCAGGACCTTCATCTAAAGCTAGAGTCGGTTCTTCCCAACCATCCGAAAACTCACTCAAGCGAAAACGTGGGATGTTTCAGAAGGAATGTGAGTCTAAGATTGCTTGAACTCATTTTCAGATGCTATTTTGTTGTGTATGTTTCGATGACTAATAATTTTTATGGGTGCTACAGTGCAGCACATGATGTATGGCTTTGGGGATGAACTACATGTAAGTCCTTTACTACGATAAATTTGAATCTCATTTGCTTTGCCAGTCGAACTTCGTGTATAAAATTGTATCCATCTTTGTAATCTTTTCTTTTGTCCCTTTTTCTATGCACTTTTATCGTTTAATATTTGGTTTCATTGAATCATGTGCTGCAGCCTCTCCCAGAGACCGTCTCTCTTGTTGAGGATATTGTTGTGGAGTATGTCACTGATATGGCAAGTCTTGTTCATTTTTTGGGTGAATGTTTTCATTTTTCAATGAGGTGTCTTAAAATACCATCATTGTTTTGTTTGCATCTTCAAATATCCTTGGTTTTTATTGGAACAAAATTGGGAAATATGTTATTGAATTCCACAGGTCCATAAAGCTCAAGATGTTGCATCGAAAAGAGGAAAGCTTATGACAGAGGATTTCCTTTTTCTGATTCGCAAGGTCATTTATATTAATCCTTTTAAGATGGTTTTTAATGCGACTTTACTCAGTGACATGAATATTGTATATTCATATGTATGTATATATAACTACCATTTTGTAGGATTTGCCAAAACTAAACCGTTGCACAGAATTGTTGTCGATGAATGAAGAACTTAAGCAAGCAAGGAAGGCCTTTGACACTGATGAGGAGAAGGTGCTATCAGTTGACTGAGATGTACAAGCAGTTTATTACCAGATTTTCATGTTGTTTGATTGTTTATATGCTTTTTAAGTTTTTCAAATGGAAAAAATATGTTCTCTGGCTTGAACATTTGAACCTGTAGAATTTGTTCCATGATCTACAAGTTGACATATCTTGAACAGTAAAATATGTTGAACCTTATTTGTTCCATTTTACCATCAGCTGGTTGACGCGAGGTATCATTATATTCGATAGTTGTTAAATCTAGCTGGTAGCATATAAATTATTTATAGCTCATAAGTCAATTTCAAACTTAAAGCTGATGATTTATAGCCAATGACTGGTAATTTACTGCCGATGATTGAAAAACTTGCTAATATGATAAAAATGTTGGCTAAAATTAAATGATAAGCCAATCTAAATAAAATTTTTACCCTGCTTAACTTAAAAAAAAATAATAAAAAAAAACAAAGGAAACTTATGAATTATGATATAACCTCGAGATATTGTTAAGCTCATCCCAGTAAACCAAAATTATTCAAATAAGAATCATATAAACTCACGAAATCATCTTACAACTTGATTGACTCAAGCACTTAATTGAGAAAATGTAAGGTTGGGTTAAGATTTCACAGATCTGAATAGTTTCAACTTTCAACCGTTCGAAGGATAGGAATTCTAAACTGACAATTCATGTCACAAGCTGGATACTGTTATCAAGTGGCAGATTCAGGATTGAAAATCAAGCTAACATGACGAGAACTGAATGCCGATGTCCCAGGATATCCCGAGTACCGTTTACATCTCACAAATGATCTACAAAGTGAACAAAACTGAAAAGCGTACAAAAGAGAATAAATGTAGCTAAGCTCTTTCTTGCTATCGAATAACTGTATGTATATATATCTAGCCTAGTGCTTCCTTGATCTTTGTCTTCTGGTCCTCTGTTAATGAGGTTGGGAATAGAACCTCAAAAGTGACGTACAAATTTCCCTTCTTATTGTTATAATGTAGTGGCATACCTTCGCCTTTAAATTTTCGTACTTCCTTCGGCTTAGTGATACCCTGACCAAAATTGAAGGGTTAATAAGAATAAGAAATTACAATCAGATCTAACCCTATGCAACTTTCAGTCATTCGTTTGGTATTGTAGTAAATGATGAATATGCCACTAACCTTGCAACTAATATCCACCAAATGTTCGTCAAGGTGTTTAATGGTCTTCTCAAAACCAACAAGGGCTTGAACCTGATAATACGAACGGTTTGGATTAAACAATTAAGTTTTGGCATACTTCTATCCACCACCAGACAGAAAAAAAAAAAACAAATAAATAAAAAAGATGTTATAAGAATGTTATGTGCTGAAAAAATATTACCAGAGTAATAGTGACTGTTGTATGCAAATCATTGCCTTCCCTTCTGAAGCGGTCATGGGGTGCCGTGCGTATGCGGAACTGCATATAATTTTAAATAAATAATAATAACCAATCAAGAAACGCGAAAATACTGAATAAATTAGATATTAAAAGAAAGAGATTCATCGCCATAACTATATGACAACAATGAATACCTTAAGATCTCCAGGCTCACCATCAATCTTTGGCTCACCTTCTTCATAAAATACTACTTCCTGTTGATCGAGAAAGTAACAACTTATTGTTTTTCATTTACAAGAAGGGGAAAAGAAAGAACTTCTCTTGAAACGCGACTAAAAAAAATCCTTTTTTGGACTTCAATTATTAGGATGAGCAAAACTTAGAAAATGAAAATTCTCTTCCATTTAATTCAAGAACAAGTAGTGGCCATCATCTTTGGAATAATATTAAGATTCCTGGACAGTGCAACAAAATGTCAAAGAAAAATAAGAGTAACTTCCTTGTCCATCCTGCATTCCTTTTTCAATATCCACAGTGACAAAATCACCCTCCCTTTCATACTTCACATTAGGGCACTGATCACAAACCTGGAAAGTACACAATTTAACGATATTTAATACATGTAATAGCATTAAGTGGACGAGTCAAAATGATTTGCTGCCACAAACAAGATTTTGCAGTTTGTCACTAAGGAAAAGCATACCTCCTCCGTCATCTGCTGAAACATTCCCGGACCAATTTGCCTGTGATAAACCTCATTTCTACAATTGCAACGTCTCTTACCTGGAGCTGGTTTAATTACATTTTTCACCCTCCAGACCTGATGAATTTCAGAAAATATGACTCGTTTAAGTCTAGATTGGCTCAGATAAACATTATATGTGGACTGTTTATTATTTCATAATATCATGTTCAGGTTTCCACAAAAAAATATGATACCTTAACTTTAAGAGACAATGACTCGATATCTTAACTTACATGGACTGCTTATTATTTCATAATATCATGTTGAGGTTTTCACAGAAAATTATACTTTAAATCTCAGGGACATTATGATTCGAAATCTTAACTTATAATTAGACCCCATTGCACAAGGCTAACTATATGAGCTACCTGCATATATCTTTAGCAACAACTTTTTGGCCTAATTTTTTTAGTACTATTAAATGATATTAAATATTCTCTTCCAAATCACAGAATTCATGCTGATACAAATAAATTTCGTCTTTGGTAGCTAATATTCCCTACCTTCAGAGTTCCCCCCAAATACAGGTCTTCAAGTGTGGCATCCAAATCAACAATCACATCATCACCTTTCACAACCTTCTCTTCCTCTTCCATTGAACTTCCACCAAAAAATCTGGAAATATATTTCTTTATTAGCATGAGCAAACAGAATAATGGACATAACGTCAATCACAAAATCAACAGAAATACTCCAGAACTTTCTGCAAACTTCATAAAGAAATAATAGAAGATAAAATCTAGCAGATTTATCATAATTGATAGCTTGCCTTGCTAGGTGATATATTGTGATATCATAATAACAGAAGACGTGCTATATTTTAATTAACACGTGGTTATCTAACTTTAAGGCAAAAGCAGAACCATAAGTCCTAAAGCCACATAAAAGAGGCTCAAAAGTTGGATAACATATGATATGCATTTTAGATTTCCAATCAAATGACATCATTTGGCTGTCAATGAACCCCACTGCAAATAACATATGCACCCATTCTATAAGTAATGAAAAGAACCAAGTGCTGATTTCCGTACATCATGCAGTGACTTAGCTTGCTGAATTCATGAACTGAATTACAAAAATACAAAAGGAAAAACTACAAACACCAAAAACTAAATCAATAAGAAGGAAACTAAAATATATTCAGAAACGATTACTGATCAACATATATGAAATCGTCAACGAAATAGCTACCAACTTTTGCCATTTGTAAAGTATAAGAAACGACTAGTCATCAACATATACTATAATAAATCGAAAGCATGAAACTTTTGAACAGACCAGAATTATCATAAAACTTAAATGAACTTACGAGCTGAAAATATCTTGAATATTCATTCCACCCCCTCCTCTGCCTCCACTAGCAGCATGCTGTTTAAGACCTTCTTCACCGTATCTATCATATATGCCTCTCTTTTCACCATCCGACAAAACTTCATAGGCTAAAAACATTGTACCATAAAAATGGAAAAACAGTCAGAATCACCCAATCCATCACCACTAACAGCAACATTAATCCTAACCCTATTAACAAAGACAAATAATAAGTCAAAATCCGACAGCTAATGAAATACCATTATTAATCTCCGCGAATTTCTTATTCGCTTCCTCATTTCCTGGATTCTTATCCGGATGAAACTTCAAAGCAAGCTTCCGATAGGCACGTTTAATCTGCTCATCAGAGGCTCCTTTCGGCACTTGCAGGATATCATAGTAACTCTTCCTGCACAAATGCGAAAACCAGAAACAACAAAAATGGTGTGATTTCAACCATGACTACACTTCGATTAATCAACAGTTAAATAATAATAACAATAAAAAAAAAAAAAAATCTTTAGCACCCACGCTGCAATGGCGATCAGGTAATACGAGGCGAAGCAGAAAAACAGCAACAATTTCGATCTCCGATGCGCCATAACAGCAAGGCACTGAAATCAAAATTAAAAAAAAACACGATCGCAGCTAGGGTTTTGGATCGGATCTTCAAGCCAACAACATCAGCGGCCTACGGATTTGCAAATTCCTCCACGAGAGGTAGCGCGATTTGAAGTACAAATGTTCGGATCCGTATGAGTATAGAATGGATGATTCGAAAGATTTATGGTTTCTTATTGCTGTGGTTAACTGTGGAAGATTATACGAATTCTTCATATTTTCGAGGAAAAAAAGTGCTCAGAAATCAACGAAGGGTCAAGGGGGTTGAGCTTGCAACGTGGTCTTGGGAGAACGGACCAATCAGAGAAGGCTCCAGCTCCTGCGAGCCAATAAGAACACGCCACGTCGCACCATATGTCATATGTCGTTTTTTCCCCCCACCTGGCACCACAACTCTACCGTTACACGAGCTGAGCCTAAACTATAGAAAAAGTTCGTTAAAAAATGATGTATTTTTTTAACATTATTGAGATTAGCTGTTGACTAAAAGAGCTCAAGCTAAACTTATTTATCATCTCAGTCGAGCCGAGAAGGGTCGAGACACGACTCGTTGTGTTTAATAGCTTTATAAGCTAATCGAGCTAAGCTTGATTGGTTGCCTAATTGAATTGATAAGCAGGTTTGAGTAACGACTCGTTTATCAAACTAATAAATAGAACTTGAGTCTTAACGAATCGAACTAAATAGTAGTTTGGAAAATCTATTATATTTAACAAGTTGAACTTGATTCTTTAATTAAATATGTTATTAAAGGAATTCGAATTGATGAATGAACTGAACTGGACTCGAGTTTGAACGAATCGATCCGGACTAACTCAGTAGACCCAGTAGCAATAAAGTCCAATAACATAAAACAACCCATGCAGTTAAACTCTAGCAAAGAAAAGTCCATTACTATCGCTCGGCCCATTGTTAACGCCATGTCGTAATTTTTTCTGCAGCTCAAATTAACCGATTGTAAAACAATGAAATGGGTTGGTTGAATGTTTTGAGTTAGGCAAGTAAGTGAAAATTTTAAATATCTAATTTTGTAGTGAGTTAGTTGAATGTTTTGTAGAAGTGCCTCGTTTGTTTTCATTCGTTATTGATCGGTGTTTTGGTCGTGAAATGCCAAATTCGACAATTTGATATGAGACAATGCACATCGAAGATTTGATACAATAGGGCTCTTATGATACCAAGTTATTGTGTGACACTGTCTAACCATTAGGCGGGTCGACCCGTCATACTTTCTAAAAAAAAATGCATATTCATGTTAGCAAACGTCATACTTTTATTTTTGTTGTTTTTTAAAGTATGAAATTTTAGTTTGAAACTATACATATTTGTTGAAAAATACGCACACTTGAAATTATCATCTACTTTTTTTTAAAGTATATTTCATTTTAATCTGGATTTTGAGCAACTTAAAAAATCAAGGTTTTTCTAGTTTTTTGTTGTGTATAATGTGTATAAATCCTTCTATATTTATGCAACTATGTAGTATGTACACCAAAGCAATCTTCAACTGGCTGCTTTTGTAATTGGCCCAATCCCAAAATATTCATCCAAACATAAAATTGCACTTAGCAAGAATCAATTACAAAATCCTCTCGACAAAAAATTTGTACAACATTAGCAAAACCCAGTGTACTCCTGTGCTAATTATACATCAAACTTCCAGCAAGCCGATACACATCACAACCGGCAGGCCACGACACATTCATAATCGATTCATTTCACCGTTTTTTTTTTCCTCTCTCATTTTCTTTCGTCTCTTTTCGTTCAACTAAAATTGCAAGAAGCAAANNAAAAAAAAAAAAAAAAAACAGTGAAACGTTCATCCACCACCAGATTCATCTCCTTTCACATTCATGCTTGGCTCCTCAACCTCAAACTGGGCGGGGCTTGCGGGTTGGGCCCTCATCTGCACAGACCTCAAAAGTGCAGCCTTCCTTAGGTCAGCCGTGTGACATATGTCGCTGGGCGAGGATGGGAATCGGGCCTCGGAGTCGGGCCCACGCTGACGTGGCAGAGGCGACATGGCGGATGAGGTGGCACAGGCGTGCGAGTGGTATGATGTGGGCGAAGATGATGCAATGTAAGCGGACAGAGGCTTTTGTCCCCTGTGGGGGGACACAGGGCTAG